CATCCCATCCACAGGCACATGTCCAGGTTCAGGTGGGATGGTCTACTGATGCCTAACCTTTAAAAACACTGAAGCCGAATGGTCCAGAGCCAGACAACAGTCTCTGAGAACTGAAGCAACTTCTAGAATCTTAGCAGCTAGAAACAATCTTCAGCCAAGCACTGACCACCCAACACCCCTATACTATCCTGCTAGGAATCCTGGCTCTGATGACTGTAGACAGGACTTGAGGGAAGCAAACCAATGCAGATCATTCATCCCATAGCACCCACCCTACACTTCGTTGATTAGTTTGCTTGGGGTAGAAAGTATTACACAGTCACAGACTTAAATGGTGAATCCCTGAGCATTTGCTTGGACTCTGAGTGGGAAGACCTCAAAACCCAGGAGATGTCAGTGGTACTGGCTTATTTCACCACATGCTATAAAAGTATTATTTTGTGAGAAACTGAACGAAAACTTCTGGGGCTGCTTACTGAGCCTCAACAGACTAATCCTCTGCCTGCACCAGTAGCATCCCATAGGGACACTGGTTCATGTCCTGGCTACTTCACTTTAATCCAGCTCCCTGCTAATGCAGTGGGAAAGTAACAGAGCTCAAGTCCTTGGGCCCATGAACCCACAAGGGAGACCTAAAACCTCTTGACTTCTGGCTTTAGATCAGCTCAACCCCAGCCATAGTGGCCATTTTGAAAGTGAACCAGAAGACGGTTTGAAAATCTGCTTTTGAAAAAAACCTTTTTCTTTTCTTCTTAAAAAAGGAAAGGTCCAGTCCCACCTTATGTAGAAGACATTCTTCCTGCCAGCCCCTCAGAGACTTCTGATAAATGATGTGGCAATAAGGTAGCAAATTTTCTAAAGAACCTGAATTATTTAAGGTATATAATATCCCAAAGACACAAAGCCTGTCCCAATATGGGGAAACTATAGCCTGTAACTGACAAGGAAATTAAGAAGGATTCTTGGGAATGGCTGTATTTGGATAATCAATTTGGGGCTAATAGCAAAATCTTTTACAGGAGAGGAAGATGGCCCCTTTGAAATGGAACAAACAATGTAATCAGGCCTCCTCAAAGCAAATGCCTCTGCTTTGGTCCTACAGAACTGCTTGCATGGAAAAGCCCTAATTCTAGTCACCACCTGACCTAGAAAAGCCCCTCCCTGAATGAACAGAAAGACCAAAAATCATAGTGGGTGTCCTAATGCAAACGTTGAGAACATTAAAATAGGGGATTATTTTTGCAAAGTTAGCTAAAATGTCCCAGACCTGCAGGTGGCTGCAGACACCTGCTCACAGGTGAGAAGTGGGAAGAATTTACTATGGGATAACTCCTAACTGTCTGAGCCCCATTCTAGTGGCAGGTGTTCTGGAAACAAAAGGGCATTGCCAGTTGGCTGGTGGCCAGATGCTGCAGGACCAGGCTGTGTGACTGGACGCTGCACACCTGGTCAGATGGCTGCCTGTGTCTCAGGAGGTTCAGCCTAGGCCCGCTGCGAAGTAACAGACCTGTGTAGTCAAGCAGAGAAGCTCTCAGAAGTGACCTCTCTGTCTGCTGCAGAAGCAACAATGGTTTGTACAGGGCACCGGTTTTATAGTAAATGATCGCTCGAGGGCAGGGTATCAACTATGCCTTTCTTTCTAAGGATGTCTGCAAGAGGCATAAAGAATAGCCTGCACACAGGCCCATTACTAGAAGGAGGAGAAGGACTTCAACAATCCAGAAGGACTCACAGCCCTGGAAGGAAAGAGGGATCCGTAATTCAAACAACAACGAAGGAATTACAGACAGCAAAGGAAGGCTGTGGAAGAATCTAAATAGTAGGCCACCCAAGAACAAAACATTGTGTTACAAAGTAACATCCTAGCTCTGGTGACTGGGAAGCCCAGAGCTGTCACCACAGAGACTCCATTTACTGAGGATTCCCCCCTTTCCCCTTACCAAGCTGAGTCTAATTTGTCCCAGGCAGGCTCAGAGGAAGCTCACTGAGACAGTTTTCTAAGCAACATGGTCTAAGACAAGGAATGGAGTACAAGGGATGGCAGACAAAAGAGGAACAGTGTGGACACCCTGGAACCTAGGCTGGGCTCTTACAAAGTACGCCCACGCTTTCTCCCCAAATGGTAAACAACGTATAACTGATTGACACACTAAGGGAGCCAAAGCCTCTCCCACCCCCATGAAGGAATTGGTAGATACACTGGTTCTTTTTTTTTAATGTACATATCAGCAAGAAAGTAACACAGAGATCAGACATCCCCTATCACTTGTTTCCCACCCTACCCCCTAGTCCCAACCTCAATCTAACTAAGCAAAACTGTTCAGACAGGGGTAGGTCACCTGGAGAAGACTGGCCAACTGACTACACAGTTATGCCAACAGAGAATGTTAAATACCTCCTAACATTTATAGTTACCTTCACTAAATGGTGCAAGCCTTCCCCTGCCAAACTGACAAGGCTAAGGAAATCATTAAAAGCCTGCTAAGAGAAATTCCTGGAGAGTCAGTCTCCCTAGGGCTACATACAGTGATCATGGAGTAGTTTTTGTTTCAAAGGTAGTGGTTGCAGATGCAAACACTCACATCGCATACCAGTGAACCAGTTCAAGTTTCAGCTGCTCCACTTCTGACCCAGCTGCCTGGTAATGCTCCTAAATAATTTGGACCTGGCAGCCCCTGCGGGATACCCAGAAGGAGTTCTAGGCTCTGAGCTGACCCAGTCCTGGTCATTGCACTTATCTGGGGAGTGAACCAGAGCATGCAAGATCTCTTTATCTTTCAATCAAATAAATCTTAAAAAAAGAAAAAAAGAAAGAAAAACAAAAAAGTTGGTGGTTGAAATGTTGCAGACGTTCAAGGTTAAATCAGAAATCACATGCAGCCTGGAGACCCCAGCCATCCAGTGGCACTGCAAAACCATTTGGACACTAAAGCTAACCTCAGCTAAACCCTCCCAGGAAACTCATCATAATGTGTTAAGGCTCTTAAAATTGTCTTAAACCATGTTAGAGCAGACCCCAAAGGAAAATCAGGCTTTATCCCATTTGAGTTGCTATAGGAAAGACACTTTGCTAGTATGACTGGGCCTCTGACCTGCCCAGATATGGAAACTGGAGTGATAGATAAAATGTAATAGATACAATTAGGGCAGGTAATGATGGCTCTCAACAGATACACACATGTGACTCTACTCCCACCTACAGCGGTAAAGCTCCACCCATAAGAACCAGGAAATGAAGTCCTCCTTAAGAACACTGGAGATCGTGTTTTTCAGAGCATTAACAGAATCTTCTCTCAAATTACAAGATGTAAATTCTGAGGTTCATCACAGAAGAATAAAGAAAGCCCTTTGGACAGAGACTTTCGGAAGCCAGTGATTGTCCAAAGGAACCAACACTGACTGTAAGATAAGGATACTTTCCAACTTCTTGCCATGTTGCTTACAGCCCCTCTGTGCTACCGTGAATCCTGGAATGTAAGAGTTCCACTCCTGTACTGAAGAGAATGCCAGCACCCCAAATGCAGGAGCAAGCATTTTCAGAAGAATGACCTCTTTCCTTTATCCCTCAAGAATGAGGAATGAAATGTCTGCAGGGGTGGCACCTATAATCAAGAGTGCAGAATTTAGAAAAAACGGGCGAGCAGAGGAGGCACAAGAGCAGAGGGCAGCTGTACTCTCTTAAGCTTGGTTTTTCAGAAGAGCTTGTCTGGCAGTTGTACTTAGAAGGCTCGGGACCTTCACACACAAGGAGCAGTTAAAGGTGCAGGAGATCAGCACTGGTCAGGTCTTGGAGACAAAGCCAAACTTTCTTCATGTAACAGGAGGCAAGGGGAGAAGAGGGCCTTCTTTACCGTGATGTGCAGCGTGTGAAGAAGCAACATGATGAATGTTGCTTCTACTGGGAAGCGGAAGCAGAAGCAGCATCCCCCTTCCTCTACTGTGACATCTCGGATATACTCCTCATCTTCGCTACAAAACCACTATCCACCTGCTTCTAAAGAAGGCAGCATCTTAGGGAATTGTCCCTTCCAATGGCCCCATTCAGTTGTCACAGGTAACGCATCCATCTAAGTAACTGTCATTGGAGGCTGTGGTCTGGCGGTCACACCAGCCAACTGACCCCTTGTCTGCTACCAGTGCCTCCTCTTTCCTGCAGCAGCTACGGGGGAAAGCAGGCAACACTGACTGGAGGCCCAACATTACCACCACAGTAAGAGACAAAAGGATCGTGGGCCGCCACACCCTGAGGTCACACCATCCAATGCCGTATTCTACCCTCGACTAGCACAACAGGACAAATACAGACACTCCAGCTTAGGAAAGTTTCTCAGAATGTCCATTTTTGACAAAAGGCAAAGCTTATGGAAATGTCCCCCATTAGTGAAGACTAAACAGATTAATGATTAAATACAAAACATGATACCAGACTGGCTCCTGCACAGGAGGCGGTACAGAGCCAACTGATAACCCTGAGTCACGGATGACTCAGGTTTGAGGCAGCCACAGATTTACCCAAGTCGGTAAGAGTAACAAAGGGCTTTTAAACAACTTGCTGTCAACTAGCTCACACATGATTATATGTGTGGGCATGGGTATCTGTGTCTATACACACACATGCGGATACATGTCTGCTTACATGAAAGCAATAAAGCAAACCGAGTAAAGTGTTAAGAGCCTAGATGCAGTACCAACTGGAAATCTATGCATTTTTCTTTGCAGCTTTCCTGCAAGTTGGAAATTATTTCCAAATACTTTTTAACATCCCCAAAACATTTTCATTTCTTCTGAGAAAAGTGAAAAAATACAAATGGAGCAAAGTATTTCAAATTGGGAGGTGGGGGTGGCATCAATCAGCACACTAAGAGAACTCCAGCCTGCCAAACCTGTGCTTAATGCTCCACGGGTATGTTTGAGTGTAGACAAATACAACACGTTAATACAATTCCCAGGTGGAAGGGGACTGGAATGGAGCCTGCTCTTCGCCGCACAGGGACACTCACCAGGCTGGCGGTGAGCGAGGGCGCCGACTGGCCCAGGGCCTGGCTGCGCATGCGCACGAGGTTGGACGTCTCAGCAGAGGCTGGCCAGGCCTGCCCGGCCACTGGGTTCGGCAGGAGGTATCGCCCTGTGGGGGGAAGAGGAAGTCAACGTTAAGTGGCAGGCAGAGGACAGTGGTTCCGTCGCAATGGGGCCTCTCTTCTAAGCCATCCTTCTTCTATATTAGCTCTGTCTTCTTCGGTAATTACATTTATTAATAGCAACCAGAGAAAAATTGTTTTAATTAAGCCAGGCGATCCAGTGGTGCGTTCTGACCCTGACTTCCCGCGGAAACCCAAGGAAACTCTGTCTCCTGCATTAGAAGCTGGATCAGGACAGGATGAGGGGTTTTCATCCATCTGCCTGCCCCGGGGGAATGTGCGGAGGCTATATTTAAACACACAGAGCACTCACAGAAATGAACGTTCGCATTTATAAATGCTCTTGGAAACCAATCTCATATGGAAAGTGATCTAAGAATTGACTCTGAAAGGGCTAACCAGGAAGAGGCAATGACCAACGACAGAAAACTGGGGATTCTTTCAAGATGAAACGGGACTGGCATCTCTCCTCCACCTGCTCTGGGGAGGCACTGGCCATCCAACCACCACTGATGCACACATGAAGTCAGGATGTCAACGTCTGTCCAGCTTCACGGAGCAATGTCTTTGAACGCTAACGTATAGATGCATGTTTTTAAAGTCAGGCAAGTGAACCATTTGATACTATCCTTTGGCACCTCAGCTGGTTATCAGTACACAAGAATGGAAGCTTTTGGACTCAGGAGAAGCAAGATGGACCTGAGTATTCTCATACTCAGTAAAAGCAGAGGCTACGTCTGGTTTGGATCTGCTTTGTACCAGCACAATGATGGGTCATGAGAGATGCCCCATGAGCGTTTACCGAGTAATGAAAGGATGAATGGGCATGCACGTGCCAGGAAGCACAAGGGAACAATGAAAAGACGGCAGGTGATTCAGAAAATCTACTCAAGAACCTTGCAAGGAGGAAGGTGAGGTGGAATGGAAATCAGCTTTGTTCCTCTTCAACCATGAGGGACTTTGGCATGCATGGCTGATGGTTCTGCAGGAGAGCTGAACATCTGCGGCTCACTGCTCTCAGGGCGTATATCACAAGCATGCATCCTGGGTAACAAGTGCTGCATTATACTGACTCGCATATCTTGACTGCACATTCTAACTCTCTGTATTATCAGAGTCCATGGGGCGAAGGATACCTCCAATGAATTGTCCATGCCAAGAGACCCAATACTTTATATAATCCAAGTGCTTTTAGGAATTTGCTTTAATTGCACAGGGAAAAGGACTTAATTTGCCAAAAAAAACCTCATTGTTCTCTTATTGTACAATCAAAGCAAAGATTCCAGAGGGGAAAGTCAGATCAGCTTTTGAAGTTTTGTCTGATAGTTAAGTGTTAAGTTTGTCAACCTCTGCTGGCCTTAGTTTTTCTGCCTCTAAAATGGAGATGACAGAATCAGTTAAGTTTAACTTGTTGAAGAGATTTGCAACATTCATGAATAAAGAACCCAGGAGCTATTTAGTGCTAATAATGACAAAAATGCAATGTATATGGCTTTGATTTCTTTCCCTTCACTTATAAGAGAAAAATATAAATTTAAGAAAATACCTTGCCTACCAGCTGCTTAACTGTGGCTGATGCCACCTTGGGTCAGGCTGGGCACACGAATGGGAGCTTTCACTCCACCAGCCACACACACAGTTTTAGCTGCTGAGGGGGAGAACGGCCTAGCCTCCAGAACCGGGAATTTCAACCCACCAGCTGCTTAAATGCGGCTGGCGCCATCTTAGGTCAGACAGCTAGGGTACCAATGGTGCTGGGAAAAGACCTCTGCCCCCCTCTCTGCCAGCTTTGAGCTCTGGGGATTTGCGGGTGTCTATAGGTTCTTGTGGGGTTCTGTTGCAACCTGAGAATTCATGTCCAGGTAAGGAAAGACTTCCGAGGGACTTCAATGGACATTGCCACTGTTCTGGCAGGTGAGCAAGGGTGCTGAGACTGAATTGTTTAGAGCAGAGAACAGAAGGAGCTTTAAGAGTCATACTGAAGTACAGTTCATCTAGGAGGCCTGAGCTGGAGCAGTTAGTATCGACCATCACCAAATATCACTCACAGGCACATACTGAGGCTACGATGGGTGCCCTCATGGTAGGGCTGGATCGAGGTGCCCACCAGTGAGAGTCAGAACAGTGAATGGGTAATGTGTGTCTGGGCCATGAAACTGAGCAGCATATGAGTGAATCAGGACTGGGGGCAGAATTTGTGGGAGCGTATGGGTTCTCACTCCTATGGAACAACAATCTCCACTGGTATGAGCAAGAGCTGTGGCTGGGAATGGGCCTGGTTGGGATACTAAGGGAACACCTAGCTGGGTTGGGCTTCCCACTGGTGGACACGACAGCCAGAATGGGGGCACTGTTCTAGGCTCGACATGGCTCCAGTCTCCCTCAGTGTAGTTGTGGACTAGGTCTGGGGAGTGCCAGACTGGGCTAGACTCCAGCTGAACCACATGAGAGCTATGTATGGGTGTGGACCAGGTTTGGCTAGGCTGTAGCACCCAACAGTGAGAACCAGAATGGTTGTGGGCTGGTTGGGCAAGGCCATTGTTCCTACCAGGACAAGAGGTGGACGAAGTCAACCTGGGCCAAAGACCCACTGGTGTGTGCAACATCTGCCACTGGGAGAAGACCTGATAGAGGAGCTAGAGAAACTCCTTTGTCAGAACACAGTCCCTGCAGATGAGCACAAGAACCAAGGCAAGTAGCACAAACCCACCAGCACACATGTGGGTCAGGTCTGGAAGTGAGCCAGGCTGGGCCAGTTTATAACATCCACTGGCAGATCTGAGAACTAGGACAGGATGCAGGAGGAGCCGGGTTGGGCTGCAACACCAGCCAGTTCACATTAGGTCTGGGACTAGGAGCTGCGTGAGCCTGGCTGGGCTGCAGCACCCACTGGTACGAGCTGGAAGAGGGGCCAGGCTGGACCAAGCCAGGCTGGTGGATAATGAGGTGAGGCAAGACAAGACAGTCACGGGAAGGTGTTGCTGGGTCTGTGAGCACCTAAGGGTGGGAATTCTGGCAGGGCATGAGTTGCCTTTCCGGGCTCCTTTCCTACCTGTGAGATGGGTGCCTGGTCTGTAAGCCTCAGGGCCATGGGGTCCTGCAAAGCCTGGGTTGCCTGGCCAGAGTCCTTGGCCCACTTGCACGGTGGGTGCTGGGTCCATGAGCTCCAGGGATGGAGGATCCAGCAGGACTCAGGTCCTTGGCTCAATTGTGTGGTGGATATCGGGCCTGTGAGCCTCAGGGTGGGTAGTACAGTGGGGTCCAGGTCACCTGGCCTGAGTGCTTGGCCTGTCTGCGGGAACTGGTCCTTCTCAGGGGAAAAGATGGAGTAGTGGTCAGCTGGCCCAGATGCTCATGGAAGATAGGGCAGCTCATTGAGGCCTACAGAGGACATCTATACCATCCCAGGGAAAGGGGAGCAGAACATACTGGACAACTACCCAGCCAAGTGATGACAGCAAATATCTGGGTGAATGGAGATGCTAAGGCCAACTATGTCAGCCAATGGGGATCGAAAGGGTTCCTCCGTGCTTGGATCAGTGATATTGACAGTTCAGAACTATCAAATTCTCCTGGGCAGAACCCTCAGAGTGTGCATAACATCAGGACCCTGGGTTGATATTGGGTGGCCATTCCCTATTCCCAGTTTCTGGAACAGTTGGGAAGCTGGGGATAGCTTCTCCCCTTCCCTCACCCATCTCCTCACTGAAACAAGGAAAAATAGAAAATTCTGAAACAATGATCACACCCACTTTTCCCTAACTGTTGATCATGCCACTCTGATCAACTATGTTAAATCATGTAAAATTAAAAATAAGTTAATAATAATAATAAATACCTCAAAAGAACCAAGGAAAATGAAATCAGCATGTATTTTTGGTACAAAAAGCCCTCAAGTATGTGAAGTTTTTCATAATATGGATTTCCATGAATTTCTGAAGACACTTAAAACTCCTGAACGAAGAAAAACATCACCTTCAATCATACCAGAGAAAACCATTCTCAACTTTTCTGTGATTTTTCTTCCATCCCCTATCTCTACAACCTGCATTTTCTTATAAAAATGGGGTCTTCTTGGTTTTTGTCACCTGTCCCCTGTCAGTGCTATAAGCGATTATGATGCTTTTCTAAGTAAATAAATATAGCAAGTGTCAATTAAGTAAAACATAAACACCATAATTGAAAATTCAAATGCAATTACTCTCTGGGGTTCTGATGACCATTTCAAAAACACAGACACAGTTTTGTGCAGGCAATGTCATATTTCAAGCCTAGCATTTGGTTTTTTGTTTCATAGCATTATGCTGAAATGGGAAGTAATAAACTAGTAAAGAAGGGCTTTGGAAAATCTGCACCTGCTCAGCCCAAAAGCAAGACATGAAGGAGGAAAAGCAGAAAAAGCAGACTGCATTTAGGAATGCGGAGTTAGTGTCACATGAATGCCTGGTTCCTCTTGACGGGGGAAGCTCTCCACTGTGCGAAGGCCATCAATTACTGTTTCAGACTGGCCTCCAGCAGTCCGAGCCCAGTCATGCTCACTTCCTCCCTCTTGGGTCCTTTTCCTGGGCTTTAGGTGTGCTGTAAATACTTTGTTGTAAAAGCAAACAAGGGTTGAGAAGAAAACACTGGGACGATCGACTGTAATCCTAGAAAACTTCAATGAACAATTTTGTAAAATTAGTTTTTCCATTAATAGAAAATTGATTGTGAGATTATCTGCCTGTAATCCCCTTGATGCGCAGACATGCTCAGTATATGTTCAATAAATGCTTGTCGGCTGAAATGTAGTTGAACTGAACAATACTTGACCAACTTTAAACCAGAAGAGCACTGCTGAAGAGAGTATTTTCTGGACTTTCATCAGAAGATAAAGCACAAAAGCTAAAATACACAGACATCTTCACACATGCCCGGCAATGTAATAACCAAGCCTCCACACGGCACAGGTGTTACACCCACTTCCAAGCCAAGCAGTGGGTAAAGGCAC